CCCCCCCCCACACCCGCCTTATCATGACCCCAATTCTACCTTACAAATCTGGCTAGATCAGAGCATGTACACTGGTACAGATCAGAGCTAGAAACACAGGGAATCCAGACTGATAAACCCCTCAGGACTAATAATGAAAGTAGAGATAACACGAGAGTAAGGGTAAGGTGGGGGGAGACAGGGGGAACCAATCACAATGATCTACCTATAACCCCTCCATGGGAAACTGGCAACAGAAAACTGGCTGAAAGGAGGCATCAGACAGTGGAAGACATGAAAAAATAATAATTTATCAATTATCAAGGGTTTGGGAGGGAGGGAGAGAAAAAAATGAGCTGATACCAAGGGCTTAAGTAGAAAGCAAATGTTTTGAGAATGATGATGGCAACAAATGTACAAATGTGCTTGACACAATGGATGGATACATGGATTGTGATAAGAGTTGTACGAGACCCCAGTTAAATGATTAAAAAAGATTGACAGTTCAAAATTACCCGTTGCTCCTCAGGAGAAAGATGAGGCTTTCTACTCCGGTAAACAAAAGTTACAGTCTCAGAAACTCATGGGGGCATTTCTACCTGACTGTATAGGGTCGCTATGAATCAGTATCAACTCTATGACAATGAGTTTGTTTTTTATTGCAGGCAAGAGAGAAGGCAGAAAAATAGGAAATAAATGGGCCTAATCCAAGAACTGAGTTCTCTCTCTGGCTCCAACATAGAGGTTGTTAGGTATCAGCAACTCCTTTCTGACTCACAGTCACCCTTGTACAACCAAGCAAAACAGTTCTGTGTGCCCTGCTCGCAATTGTTACATTTGAGCCCACTGTTGCAGCCACTGTGTCAATCCATCTCCTTGGGAGTTTTCTTCTTTTTCACTGGTACCCTACTTTATCTAATTTGATTTCCTTCTGCAGGGTCTGGTCCCTGGATGACAGTTCCCAAGGCAGTGAGGCAGAGTCTTGCCATCCTGGCTTCTCAGGAGCATTCTGCCTGTGCTTCTTTCAAGACAGTCATCCTTCTGGCGGTACAAGATCTAGTCAATGTTCCTCACCAACATCATCATTCAAAGGCGTCATTTCTTCGTTCATCTTCCTTCATGATTGTCCTGCGTTTAGCATAAGAGGCATGGTTGCAAATACGATGGAAAGCCTGGCTAGAGTGAGATCAAACAGGGATTTTAGCTTGAACTTTTTTCTGAAACCATTTAACCAACATAATCAAAGATATATCTTTTTAAATATTACTCTGGCATCAGTGGATGGGATTAAAAAAACAAACCAACCAGAAAGCTTGGTGGCATAAAGGTTAAGCACTCACCAACTAACCAAAAGGTTAGTGGTTTGAAACCACCAAGTGGCTTCATGGGAGAAAGACCTTGTAATCTGCTTCTGATGACAGCCAAGAACGCCTATGTCTACAGCACAGAGTAGGCCCTGTCTCACTCCCTGTTGGCTTCCCTATTGACACAGGCAGAGGTCAGACACGCCTCCACCCTCCATCCTTCTTCTCCCTTATTCTGACACCAACCAGACCTCAGCATGAAACACTGCCCTGCCCCACGCCATCCTCAAAAGTGTTCCCATGCCTGAGCCCATTGTTGCATCCCCACAAAATGGGATTATCAGACACAGAGGCTAGAAGTTACAGTACATCACAAAAGGGTTATGGCCAGAAGGACTCTATAAGTAATTGACTATATCTCAAAACCTTCTGGGGCAGTTCTTCGGTCAAATAGGGTCACTATGAATCCAAACACGATGTTTAGTAAAGAGGAGAAAGGCCCTCAACGAGATGAGGTGGATTGACAGCCCTGACTGCAGCGATGGGCTCGGGCATGGGGACAATCGTAAGGGTAGTGCAGGAGCATGCAGTGTTTTGTTCTGTGGTGCATAGGGAGGCTATGGGTCTGAACCAACTCGATGGCACCTCACAACAAAGTTCAGAGGAGAGAGATGCTGTCTCCGTTACCTAGTGCTGCTGCAACAGAAAAATACAAGTGGTTGACT